AGTCTAGATACGGCACCAATCAACGGGGCGGGAGGGGGGCGGGAGGAAACGGCGCGGGAAGAAAGCAAGCGAGAAGAGACCGACCGCGTGACGTGACGTGTCGCGGTTGAATTTCAGCGAATAGTTTTTTTGTTGCCCTCTCCCTCGTTTGCTGTCGCGTTCAGACTGTCTCTACGGATATCCCTGTCTCTGTGCGAGTTTGTTTATGTCCTCGTCTGTCTTTGGTTTATTTCGTTGTATTTTGTTTTGTTTTGTTACTGGCACGTACTGCTGACCCTTGGGGTCCTTCCGGAAGGCTACCCCCCAGGCTGGTGGTGCGCACGTTCCACTATTGATTTATTTATTTGTTTCTGATTCTTTTGTCTTGTTGTATTTTATCGCTCTGCTAACCCTTGGGGTCCATTTTATTTTGGTATACCTTTTCTAGGTACGTTAGCCTGTGACCACGGAAATTGACCGAGTCAAGTGCTGGATTAGTACGAAGAGATTGAGACAGAAGGAGGTACTGGATAGAGAGACCGGGATGGTTTTTAATGTGAAGACAACAACAACACCAACAACAACAACTACCGTCTATTCACCTCTAGTGCGGTTTGTAGCAAGCGCAGTTTTCACCTAGTAGGTCGATCACAGTTTCTGAGCAAGCTTGACGAAGCCGCTCAACGAGGCCGGGAGCGTGTAGCCCTCTCTGCTGCTGTGGGTTCTGGATCTTTAGTCTTGTCAAAACTTGGCCCAAACTTGTGGAAGTAAAGATAGATTCGTTTTAGTCTCCTCACCACACCCGCGCCACGCTCACACGCCANACTACCGTCTATTCACCTCTAGTGCGGTTTGTAGCAAGCGCAGTTTTCACCTAGTAGGTCGATCACAGTTTCTGAGCAAGCTTGACGAAGCCGCTCAACGAGGCCGGGAGCGTGTAGCCCTCTCTGCTGCTGTGGGTTCTGGATCTTTAGTCTTGTCAAAACTTGGCCCAAACTTGTGGAAGTAAAGATAGATTCGTTTTAGTCTCCTCACCACACCCGCGCCACGCTCACACGCCAACACGCGCACACTTCAACACAGCAGCCGCTACCCTCCGAGTAGACATGAGTGCGCTATCGAAGGCTTCGCCTCTGAAACGCAAGCCAGTCGAGAGTTCCAAACCCCCCTCCAAGCCCAAGACTGCGCTGGAACCCGGCAACCCCCTGTGGGTGTGCCTCGACGTGAAAGACTGCCCCGACGGTCGGCTCGCGGTCCGCACGAAGCGTGTCTTCATTTTTTAAGTAGTCACAACCGTTTTTGTTTTTTTCTCCTTGCGCCTTTTTCCAGGTTCTTGCACGTATTGTACTGCGTCATCTTTTCCTTGTGCAGTTCTGGGCTTGCGTTGTCTTCCCATGCGCACCTATTGCGACTGTACATTCGTTTGTAGGTAGTCAAATCTGATTTTTCTTTTGTTTTGAGTACTTCCTGCGAAGTCTCGGCGTTCCTATCTAATGCATATTTTGTGTTCTTCCATCTGACCCCTCTGTCATGCGACACTCATCCTTCCCATCAACTACAACACTCCCGCCCTTGGTATCCAGCCTCGCCCACCATCGACACCACTTCCTTTCCACCATCACCTAGACACAGCAACCCAGAGGACGGGGGTGCCGATATGCCCCCAACGTCCGGAGACCCTTTTACATTCTTAATTTGATGTGAACGTGGCCTTCACAGGGAACATGGCGCAATGTCGTTTGACAACTTACTGTTTTTAGAAAGTACTTCGCTGCTGGTTTAGGCGACTTGAATACAGACTACAGTACGACCGCAGTATGAATGTTGTACACCTACCACATTTTTTTTTTTTTTTTTGAATTTCAACAGTTGGAATTGTGCTGTAGATTTGAGTGTAGCTGTTTCCCGCTCAATTTGAAGTCTACGATGTTTCTTTTCTGTTTCATTTTTTATATATATTATTAATATGACCCAACGAATTCATTTCCATCTAGGCAAAGAGTCTTCTGAACGTGCGAAGACTCTGTAGCGTAGCTCTACGTCGAACACCATTCAAAACGTTTCATGAGGCACGCAACACGCCAAACCTACCAGCGTTCCGGCGACACACGTTCCCCCCCGCCAGTTCTATCCAACGGCCGCCTCGAACAGCGATGGGAAGAAAGCACCGCCTTTTCACTATTGGTTTTTTGTTTTTTGTCACCATGCAACCGTCTTGTTGTTTGCAGCGTGGCATCCGGCGCTCTGGCATGTTTCGCATCCGTGCTCGGCAAGGTGGCTTTCGACGGCGACACGCCTTTCCAGGTCCAAGCAACGAGCGCTTGCGAGGAGCACTTTCCTGCGTTGGCGTTGTGCAACACGGTGAGGTCACAAAAAAAATATTCGTCGACAACGAATCACGCGCGTGCGGTGAAGCGTGTCTTGCCGGTGTGTTCTCTGTGCGTGCGTTGGTTCGCCAGTTGCCACATGTTGCGAAAGTTACAAAGCTGCCATGTGGTTTGTAGGTTTATCAGGTTGAGCGTGAACGCGAAACAGGACAACGACTCCTTGGTTTTGGCTTGGAGGAGGTTTATGAGAGGTTCGGCGACGGCAACGGTGCATTTTTTACCACATCATCTAAAACCGAATCCACCAAGTAGTCTTACATGTCTTCGATACATCAAGCGCGTTTCACGCCTACCCTAATCGCTTAGACTCATGGTGGACTGCTGCTTTCTATCTACACCCCTTGTCGCGCTGCGCTTGATATGGCCCCCTTTGGCTGGTTAATCTCAGGTAGGCCGTCTGGTTCAGGGCGCGTCGCTGGCGGGAATGTTCATGGTAAACGCCGTGATGCTTTCGACCTTTCTCAAAGCTCTCCAGATGTCGGGGTCTACCGTCGCCACCGTCACCAACTTCTCCACCAACTTTGTGTTGTCGGTAAGGGTATGATGCCTGTTTGTTGGACGCGTTGATGCCTAGCACACTCACCCCGTGATGCCCCCACCCCTTGCTGTGTAGCCTTCGAAGTTTGCGACGTGAAGTCGTGATGTCTTTGCACTTACATCCCTTGTGCGAGACACCAGCTCCCCGTACCCTTATGCAACCGCGAAGACTGCGACCTTATCCCTGTGGTGCACCGTAGCTACACCATTCGCACCGAGTTGTTTCGTTTGCCTCAAGAAACCCACGACAAAATGTGCTACATGCAGTACCGTTACGGAAACTCGACCGAGTGGACCTCCACAAACATCCGTACAGCAAGTTTTTATGGTCGTTGAAAATCTCCGCCCGCGCTCGTCATACAACATGAGCTCTTTTGTTCATGTCGGCGTCGCTTGATATCTGTTGTGATTCGCGCGTTCCGCCTCTTACACTTCCACCATGCTGTCCACGTCGCAGGGAATCTCCGGTAGGATGGTCTTTGGGGAGAGGTTGCCAGCTTTGTGGTTCTTCGGTGCTTCGCTAGTCGTCTCGGGGGTGGTGCTTTTAACCGGCGGCAGGAGCCCCGAGGCCGACAAGACCTCCGAGAGAATAAAAGGAGAAGAAGGCCCAACATCGACAAGCCAAAGCACCCATTCAAGTTCGCGAAAAACTACAAAAGACCGGGAGAAACGAGAATGACGAAACGTTCTCGGGGGATTGCTCGTGGCTGAGGTTCTTAAGAACTTTGATGAGGGTCCACGATCGAGGATTGGTGTGTCGTTTGCACCACGACCTGTTTTGTGGGGATCGCCTGGAGCGCGTTGCTGATGTAGGCCGGACTTGTGTTTCTGGGAACGTGTTGCATGTTGTACATCAGAAAGTGTAGGTTTGTTCCGGGTAGATTGGGTCACATTCTGTAATTTTTTTATGCGGAAGACATCATCGTCACCTTCCCGTCGCTGAACCGAAGTAGGGAACACTGCCCGGCAGTCACGGTTGCCACACGCCTTGGCGATAAACAATTTGACCTTGTTTTGTCTTGGACGGAGAAAACACTGCTGTTGCCTGGGGCGATCCATCAACCACAGCGTATTTACAACCAACCGGTAGGGCGAGCAGCCGTTGATGGTCGTGCTCAAGCCAGCCGGTCTTGGCGAACGAGTAACTCCAAAACCTGTGCAACAGCGACAAGGACTTGAAAGTAGTCGCTCTCCCTAACCTCGTGCGATCGGGAAAGAGCACACTGACCCAAAACAGACAACAAGGGTGGCAGCTTGTCTAACGCGTCGGTTCCAATCCCTCTTGCAGCGCCGCACGGACCGGCCTGCCCTTGTGTTTTCGTATGTCTCTCTCCTCCTTTGCCTCTACCTATTGTCTTCTCGATCTGTATCTCTGTCGCACCCCCCTCCTGTCCGCCGCTCGTCGCATTACGCTTACTCTACCTACCCGCCTCGCGGCGGCTTGATCGATTTCAAGAGGATGTGCTGGTCTTGGACCTCCTGCAAAGTCCTGAAACCCCACTTTTCGATGTTCGCGAAGCCCCAGCGGCTGTCTTCCCTCTGGTCCGCCAGGCTCTCTAGCGCGTGCAGCTGCCGCGCCTCTAGCTCCGGGAAGGTCTCCCTCATGACGTCACGGAGGGTGTCCTTTGTTGAGAAAGTCTCGTCGTCGCCTTCTTTCTTCGCCCTAAGCTCATCTCCGAGCTTGCGCTGCGGTGCGTGGAAAGAACAACAGCCCGGAGGGGGTTCGGGTTCAGAAGCTTGTGGATTGTTCTCGCGTTGACATGAGATCGAGCCGGCCTCCTCTTTCGTGTCTGGTATTGTGATAATACATATGAACTATATCAAATGCCAAGCGAGAATCCTCCCCACTCGTTGGCGATGTCCATGAGACGTGCTCCCCCCAGTCGACCGGGTGCGAAACGAGTACATTCCGCGGTTTCTATTCTAAAACTCCGGGGGACAAGTTAGGAAACGCATGCTACCAGCAATCTATCCGCTCCTGGGAAGTGCGAGAAAACCAGCCCTTGAAGCCCTTGTAGGCTACATGCCGACAAAATGTAGTAAGTCCGTGTCCTGCTCAAACTCTCTCTTCTCACCGTAAACTCGTCCGCATTCAGACCGGCAACCTTGGCCAAGCCCTCGGCCTGCCGTGAGGCCCTGAACTCGGTCACGCACTCGTCTTCCGCGCTCTCGTACTGGCGGCTCTCAAGCTGCTTCAGCGCGCACATCACCCCCGCCACGGCGTCGGCTACTTCCTTCGCCGCCACCACCCCGTCCTCGCTGACGGTGACCGCGGACATGATCGCCGGCACCTACATAGGTGGTGTGGACCCCGAGCGGGAAGGTTTCGAGAGAAACTGGTGGCGTTGATAACGATACCGGAGGGTTTGCCTAGTTACGTTTCATATTTCTTGAGTCAGGTGTGAGAAACTGGGTGTCACATTTCTTCTGGATTTAGTTTGATTGTTGAGGAATCATTCTTGCACTATCCTAGTGCAAACCGAAATTCGTCTCGTGATCTTTAGGATCAACACGGAAAATGTGGAGATGAACATGCTTTTGTTTTCTTTCAGCCGCTCAATAGAACCGACCCCGTCGTTTGCCCTATAGACCCTTTCTATTTTGCGTGGTTTTCCACCGGAGGACCAGACAGAACAACGATTGTTTAGGAGAATGATGAGACTAGTCTCCCTCAAATTTTGGTTGCTTCTTTCCCTCCGCCTGCAGTACCAACAGAAGACACACGACCACCGCGGCGCTCTCACAACCCTTCACGTACATAGTCCTCCTCTGTCTCAGTAGCAATACGACACCCCAACCGGATTCTCACCTGCACGTACCGCAGCCCTAGCCCGGCGTTGTAGAGGCACTCCGAGGCACCCGAGGATGTCATGTGCTCGTCGCCCCCGTTGGCCTCGACAAGGATGCTGTAGACTCGCTCGCGTAGTGCCATCTCTTCCTCGGGGATCTCTTGGGCCTGCCTCGATGACGTGATGGCGCCAACACTTCATCCCTTGAGAACTACATGCTATTGTGTGCTGGATTCAAGAACTCTTCAATCACAGCTGGTATTTTTGTTGATAATCTGCTGCTTGGCTTACGTCTAGTCTTGTAGTGAACGACAGCCAGTAAGATGTAGCGACTCAAGAGGAGCAGGAATGAACCTAAAGCGGATGCCGACAATGAATGTCGGACGACAAGCAACACCAGCAATCAAAGGATACCAACCTTGTCGCTTAGGATCTCGACGATCATGGAGAAGCACACAGGCAAGAACTCCTGGTAGTCAATGACCCCATCGCCGTTTTCGTCGATGAGAGCTGCCAGGTGCAAGCGGTGCATACATAGGAGTACACAAGATTATGGAGGAAAGTTCAAAGGTTGATATGGGGGATGTGTATCATGCAGCAACAAAGGATCGTACCGTCCACACGTACTTGTGGCAAAAGATGAACCCGGCCGCATGTAGTTGGAGATGAATATGAGTTGAGAGAAAATACCAAGAAAAGGCACGCGATTTGAATCGGTAGTAACTCGTCTGCGCATGCCTCTCAGACGGTTATTCACAAGAAAGATCGATTTCCCGGCCACAACTTCAAGGGCTCCCCGGTGCGACGTAGTTCAAGAAACATGTCAATTGCATGCTACCTCGCCTTCCCCGCTTTGCAACCTCCCTGGGCAATACCTCTTTCTGCCCCTGCAATAGACTCCAATCAAACCGTGGACGTTTTCGAGCGACACCAAATACGTCACTGTCTGCCAAATACACGCGAAGGGGGTATCGTAAACACACATACATTTCACTGACACGTCGTTTGCAGCTCTCCGAGCGTACAGCCATCCGAACCACCCGACTCACTGAGGACAAGGTTGAGCTCCCGTCGCGTGAATCCCACGCCCGACTCCTTGAGACACCGGATGAACTCCCCACGGTCCAGAGCTCCGCTGCCGTCACAATCGGCTCCTCGGAAGATCTCCTGTATGGAGGTTTCGAGCTCGTGCCGTGGCAGCCCCTTCATGAGGTAGTTCTCCACCTGTTTGTGGTGAAGGAGTTTGGGGTTAGGGAGGCGTGAGACGGGGCGCGAGAGGGGAGGATAATTGTTGATTTCCCTGGCCTATTGGTCAGCGACCACGCCGCACTTCCTAGTGGATGTACCGCCTCTAGTACTTGAGAAGATACCTCTTGTACTGCTGCTGAATGGGTTGGGGGGTGGTGGTTTTTTGAAGTGCGTGGTGCTGAGGGTACCACGGCTCTAACACAGCAAAGGGAAGACGTTGGGCGCGGTTATTGGTACAGAAACGATTACCTTGTTTTGCAAACGTATCTTCCCGATGCTGTGCTGCTGGCATCTGATCCTGTAGACTACGCTGTTTCAACTTACATCCATTTTCGCCGAAGTGCGTTTCTTCCGTATGAGCTTATTCTCCGAGTACTGCTCGGTCGCCATTATAGCCTGCGCGAATTGTCGACAAGAAACACATGGATGATGAATGTTCCGCTTGGAAAGTGCATTTGCAAAATGTGTATGAGAGAAAACGAAACGCTGTTTCCACAGCATCTTTGCCCAAAATTGCACGAGTGAAAACGAAACGGCGCAGCCCAAGCTCCCCCAAACGTCACCTGGATGAGTTCGACAGCGATCGGGAGGAACTCTTTGTACTCGATAACCCCGTCGTCGTTGTTGTCTGCCTCCGCCATGATCTTCAACACGTGCTTCGTTGACAGGCCACCAATGTCTGCCGCGAACATCTCAAGCACCTGGGATGTAATAAGTGCGGCAGTTGCAATCAACAGTACGTCCGTCCGTGTCCTGGGAAAGCACACATGAGGAGTTTGCACAGTGAAGAGAGCGCTACCCTGGCGCGGAAACGGCAATGTGCAACCATGACAGGGACCCGACGATGGGCATGCATGCATGCTTGCATCTCTGCGAAAGAAAGCGAAATACGTTGTCTTGTACTCTACCATTTACTACGGTACGGTCTCAAGACGCACACACATCTGGTTCGACGACAGGACCTCAACAACGCCGAAGCTACTGGCGCCGGACCAGACCGTGGACCCGCTGAGAGTAGTGAAAGGGCAGGTGAATCTATGGCTATCAAGCTTACAGCTTGTCCACACCAAGTTCTTAGTCGGGGCTATCACCTGTTGAAACTCTGCCCTTGATAAAGTCCCATTTCCGTCTGTGTCCGCCTCCTGGAATAGTAACGCGACGCGGTCCATCAGCACGTCCTGAGCCATGGCGTTGGAGCCACCGCCCGGTCCCTCGCCCGTCTGTTGAGTTTCCACCTGTCGAACAACAGCGCATATGCATACAATGAAGAATGGATACGCGCTTTTGGCAACGCATTTGAACGATGGTGACATCGCCGACAAATATGTTGAAAAGCGACAAACTCAACCTGCAATCTGATGTATGTAGACTAGTAGTTGAACTCTCAGAGAGGCCCGCTATGTACAGTAGGTCAAACCTCCAGACCAACGAAACGTCGGGGACACGCAGACGCGTATTGGTGCCAAAGTCGGAAGAGTTCCAAGTGCTGCATGCGCAACGAGACTGTCGCTCGTCGCTTGCCGGCTCGTCCGATGTGTCATGGACGACGAAATAAGCTGCACTCATTCCGCCCTCTCAGAGCCGGGGGGGGCAGGGGGCAGGGCAGCACCACAAACACACACCAACGCGTACCTCATTCACGCCGAGTGTGATGACGCCCAGGTCATCGTTGGACTCCCCTGGTTGGCCGTCGTCGACCCCGCCAATAGTACCTTCGGCAGGGGCGGGCTGTTCGACAATTACGTCCTTTTCCGCAACGGATGAAAGCTTTGCAAAGTATTCGTAGCCAAACCTGAATACACATTGTGGACCGGAGACAAGTACGTGCGTTCAGTGACGTATGTACGTAGAGAATGGCTCCGCCGAGCTACGCGATTTGGTCAACGGGAAAGAGCCTTGCAGACAGACGCCATCTACTGGAGGTAGGTACACTTACACATAAACTCCATCGGACTTGCATGAAAGGTTGAAGTACATGGACCGCCCTCGTCGTCGTCGTCCACTTTGGTTCTGCCCTCCCCGGCTTGTCTCAGTTGACACTATACTAGCCGATAATCGACATCCCCACAGGCCTACGACAGTGTAGGTTAGTAATACCCACTCGACGATCGAGTCGAGAGTATACCGTACATGTGCACATACTTTACTTGTTGGGGTTATGAGGTCGGGACAAGGTGTCTGTGTATTGTAGTCTTCCTGCTGTATTACGACATCAATATGCGGCGTATGGACTTCGTTGTACGTCACCTACCGGTAGATATCGGCGGGTTGTTCTCGAATAGCCTCCTTCGCGAACTCCCGTAGGATTGCGGGGAACTCCTCGGGAATCTCGAAGGCCTTGGCATAGCTCCCCATTTTACGTGCACGAGTAATTTGAACGTGTCTCGGTAGTGAAGAGGGATGTTGGTTGTTCGAAATCGCCTCGGTCGTCCTCGCCAAAATACAAAAAAATCGTTTCGTTTTTTTTTTCACGTCATGGATCCATCTAAAGAAGATCTGAAGGTCATCTCCTCTAGAGCCAGCAGTCTAGGATACTACGATGTTGTGATACTTTGGGGAATGGTGGAAGGCGGGGCGGGCAACGCGGTGCTACAAGTACAACTGGGGAGTTTTCCTCTACGCCACCTCGTACGCCCTGCAGTGCTGTAGTACTGCCGAAGTATGCTGTGGTCCCAGACACAACTCTATCTACAACATGTGGTACGCGGGTTTTGAGTGAATTTGGTGACAACAACAGCAAGGTATAATACAGGTACAACACTGGTCGCGCCGGAGGTCTAGTGGGTAACCTCGCAGCCTGCAAAGGGCCAGGTCATGGGTTCGAGTCCCGACAGAGTGAGTTTGTTCTCACTTATTAAATCCTGGTCTCCGTTGGAAGCGACGCGCTGCGCGTTGCTCGTAAACTTGATCGACTGCACAAGTCGCGAGGGAAGGGATTGCTGTACCCTTCTCGCGATAAAAACATCTCAGGCAGGAACCGCAGGACGGGGCCCAACCCCCCCCTCCTATGTGACCCCGGTTGGGTCGTCTAGCTAGTAGAAGTGGAGGATAGGGGCCAGAGGGGCAGACGACAGAACCCATGATGAGAAGAAAAAAAACAATGTGCTCGGGCGTGTAACCAAAAAACGGGCTAGTATCGCTCCTCGGTCAGGTGGTAGCCTGACGAACCGGAACATAAGGGACACAACTAACTTCTGCGCGCGTACGCGGCACTGCGGAATGTGGTCACGAAGTCTGTGTAGGTGGCATGTCTCGCATCTCGGTCATCAGGTCGATTACTCGAATTTTGTGCCGACGAAACGATTTTGAACGCGGACCAAATAAATTAGCTGAAAAGTTAGGCGACGTTCACGAACTACGGCTGGATATGAGGGGGTTCGTCAACGGACGAAAAGAGAGCCTCAGCTTTTTCTGCTGGTAAGCCTGACGAACATATGCAAGCAAGGGCAGTACCGGCCCACACGTCCAGAAAATTGGGGCGTGCAAGTGTCCTCTTCATGTTGAAACGCATGCCGTAGTCGGTAGCCCATAGTCTGGACGTCCCATCCTTTAAATGCTGGGACGGAGCGATTCTCCGGGTTTTCGCCGGCCCAGGCTAAGTGTCGCAAGGATGAATCAGAAGCTAGTCATCATCCTTCCTTGCGTTGGCTGCGCCAGATTTGCCATGGATGGCTTGACCGTGGGCATCCCAACCAACCAAACGTTTCACATGCGGCAATCCAAGAACCGCAAGGGACTTCGATCTTTAGGCGCTCGTACAGAGCAGACGCGCAACACAAAATCAGGGGTAAGGCAATGAAATCATCGGTTTGATTGACGGGACATTATACGCAACACATCAAGGTGTGCCGCGAAAACTGAGATGAACGACGACAGACCAGGTAAAGCTTCGGCCCGCAGCCAATCACAAACAGGCGGCAACCAACCGTGTGTTGCTGTTCTGCCTCTGCCAAGGGCGCCTTGTAGTCGTCGCGGCCACGCCAACGCCCACCCCGCCAAAAGTTCCCTGGCATCCATATCGTGCTTTGTTCGCCCTCGACACCCGAAGAGGGCAAGAACCAGAAACTTTCTCCGTGAATCAATATGACGGCGTTCACATCGACGGTGGAAACACCACCTACCCCCAAGACCTGGCCAAAAAGAGCAGTACCTAAAACTCGCGCGAGTGCGAGAGTCAAAGGCAGCAAGACTCCACGAGTTCCAAGCGCAACACTTCGCGTGGTACATGGCGTCATCGGAGGGCTGGAAAAACAACATGCTGGGGACACCATTGACTGAGTTGGCCGTGGTGCCGCGAGAAGAAGCCAACCTTACCCCGTAGGGGGGGCACAGAAAAAAAAAAAGTGCCGTTGCTCCAGTCCTCCCCTGCCCGCCTCGATATCATACGTTCTGGCTGAAAGGCGTGGACCCCTCGAGAACATAGAACCTTCCCCCCCCGCGGGTGCGCCCCCCAACAAGCGGTAGGCGCTCTGATATCAACCTTGTCCTCCGTCAGCCGTTTGGTTCGACATGGCTAGTGCATCCTCTTCATGTGTGCTCGAAGAAGCCTCCGCGGCCGAGTTTGAAGTCCGTGACCTTGGTGAGGATCTCCTCCTTCTCCCTCGTCACCTCCTTCAGCAAGTCCTTCACGCTCAGCATCCCCACCACCTTGATCGTTTCAAAGGCAACATTGTTGTGGTCGTTGATGCTCCGTTGTTCAATGATGATGTCTCTAGATGTAAACCGAACGAGAGCGGATGAGTTTTCCAGAGTACAGGACCATCATCTGCTCCCAACGAGGGAGGGAGAGAAAACCAAACACGCATCAAAGCACCGCTCGATGCTGGGCGGCACATTCCCAAAAGGCTACTGGCGATTGTTGCCGAGAGGGGGGGCTCATGGAATATGCTTCAGGTCTGGGTATGCCATTTGCATTCGACGGTCGAATCGATGAAAACGCTTCGTTTCATGCATCCCTTGCCGAGAGAGAGAGGGGCGCTTCCCAAGCGCACAGATCTCTCATTCACGAGTACTTGACGAGCTCAACACCAAACCAACCCCAAGAGGGCTGTTGACACCAACACGTTCGAATCGGAAGAACACGGAAAGCCCCGAGACCGTATGCATACGTAGATGAATAGGTAGCATCCTGACTCGAGAGCAACAGGAGTGTTTCCCCCACCAAAGGTCTGCAGCAAAGCTATGTACGCTGAATGAACGTCGAGGTTGGATTGATGCAACCCGGAGACCGCGGTAGATTGTATTTTGTTCCATGCCTGAGAGGGACAACGCTCTTCAGAGCACAACGCTCCTGAGAGCGGGGGAGACACCAGAAAACGTATGGATTGAAAAACAGAGGAGGAACTCCAAAACTCAACGAACAGACTTCGACCTGGTGCAACACGTCAAGCGCTCGAACTCAAGTCTTCCGCGGCACACCCAAGCAGGCTTGCGTGTCCTTAGTTAGTACCCACAAGCAGCAAAAACAAGACGCCAAAACTGAACGTCGAACGAGCTTCGGCATGTTCGTTAATCCATCCCTCCCTTCCCACCTGTCCCTTCTCCTCGTCCACCACGGGAAGATGGCGGATATCCCTCGCCACCATCTTGGCCATGCAGTCCTGCATGGTGTCGCTCTTTGAGGCAACCACCAGATTAGCGCCCATGGTGGCGATCTCCTTGACCGGGGTGCTCTTGCTCGCCTTCCCTAGAAGAGCGACCTTCCGACCCAAGACAGGAGGTCCGGCCAGGGAACGGTTTGGGTGTGTGGAGTCGGTGAGACGAGTGCTGGTGATCGTAACCTTCTCCCTCTTCCTTCTCTGAAACTGTGAGACCCCGCACGTCACACGCAAAAGGGTGCGCATGTGTAGACAAGGCAAACGTTTCCTGTGCCTGCCCTGTTTCGAACAATCAGCTGCTGCTCCGAACCACAGGCGCCGAGCACGGGGGGCCGGGGCAAGGAAACACAAGAACCTACGCATCCCACCACACTTGGTGCCGAGTTTTATCATGCTGCGCGGCGGGCCAGACCGATTCCCGCTGGGGGGAAAGGGTAGAGTACACGAGCTTCACCAGGATATTGCCAGCAGCGCATGGATTTTAAGGTCACCATGCAGCGTGTCGTCATCGAGGTTTTCGGCGACGGTGGGGGCTCTAACGCGCGTGCACTCCGATCCAGAGATTTCTGTTTTCTTCGTTAGTGTCGCGCATGAACTTGACTCGCGCACTCACACCTCTCGATGTCGCGCGGACCGTCTAGCGCCCCATCTAACCACATGTGATCTCTCTTCGTGGGGAGGGTCAACAACTCGTTCTTACCAACCCCAAATGCCTCTTCCACGGTTGAGCTTACTTTGGGTTAAAACGCTTCATGTGTCCAGATTCCACGGATCTAATGCGGGCTTGCTGCGGACACGCACGGAATGAATGCTTTTTCCATTCTGTCAACACATGTGGCAGATCGGACCAGCGCCGCGCCTACCGGCCCAATTGACGCGGATGCCTTCCACGGTCCTAGGCCAATGTACCCCCAAAATGGTGCACACTGCTGTCAAGGGTAAAAAACACGGCAGCGACGTGAGCCCAGCAAACCCTCATACGCCCACAAAAAAAAACAGGCGCGTACGCCAGAGAATGCTACCCGCAATTTTCGGAAACAGCTCGTCTCCCGGCTCTGAGTTTTGGGGCTCGTTGGGAGCATTTCTGGCTCCATATTCTGGCCTTCCCGCGTTGTTATTCTTGGCAGGGTGTGCGCTTTTTTGAGGGATTCATACTTCAGTTGTGACCACGGAAGGTGTCCGCGTCAGTTGGACCGGTAAGAGGTACACAAAATACCAGAATGTACCCAGCAGAGGCAGCAATGCGTGTTTTGTACTAGAACATCAGGCGGAAGAATGGTTATCCCCAATTCAAGGCTTGCTGATTTCCGAGATGCACGTCCCTTCGATCAATGTGTGAGATATAACTATGCCGCATACCCAGCACACGATGAGTGCGTAGTTGTACACGGCGGTACAGCACATTAGCACATTCAGCGTACATACAGGAGTTGAGCTGCTCGCACGGAGCAAGGCGAAGCGTGGCACCGCAGTCGTGGTGGGCCCGGTTTTAGCGGCCCCATACTCGGCGACATGCCATGTGGTTGTACAGGTAGCCGCTATAAATTCGCTCGGCACAACTGACACTGACTCGTACTCCGAGTACATAACAGCAAATCCCATTCACTGCTGTTGTAAGGACTTCAACACATCCCCTTCGACTGTGGTTTCAACTCGAACGGTGGTCTCCTGTGAGAGTATGTACACTGTCTAACAGTAGTCGGACTCGGAAATAATAGCGACCTTGCTTTCCTGGAATAGTGACCTATTAATGGAGTTCATTTACTACTGCTGTTGCTGCGAGGCGAGTCGCTGTGTAAACTGTGGACATGGCAGTGCTTGTACCGAATCAATCACACAAGGGAAGGCGGCCAGGGACAAGGCAAAAAAGACGGCGGGCCGTATCTTGGGGGGTAGGTAAGAAGCCGTACGAAAGACGGCGAAAATAACAACTGAACATCATCATCCATGCCCCCCGACCCTCCCACCACCGCTGCTGCTGCAAAACTACAAAACGCATGTTCCCCATTTACACACAATGAGAGTCTACTCGACACATTCCGCCACATTTTCTGGGGAACATCCTAATGTGTACTTCACCTTCGAGACGTAGTCGCGCTCGGAGACGATGCCGATGACCTTCTTGTCGTCGTTGGTCACCGCCAATGCCCCGATGTTGTAAGCCGCGAAGCGCTGCACCGCCTCGTATACGGTCGCGTTCTCGGAGATACCGAAGTCGATCTTGAAGTAGCACGACTTTTGGAGGGCGTCTTTCGCGGACGATCGGTTCTCGACGGTCGTGGCGACCTCGCCGTAATTCCGCGGCTTAGGGTCGCTCATGCTCGACAGCGGAGCAGCTGCTGCCGGCGGGGGTAAGAGAAAGCAGCAGCAGTCACGCGGCAGTGTTTTGTTTCTTGTGCTGGCGTGGTGAAAGGGTGTGCGCACGACCACGCCGGACATGGTCGCGGCTGTTGCTGACAAGAAGCGGCGCTGCTGCAAGCAAAACTGAAGTTTGGTGCTCGCACCGTTGGGGGCGGGGGTGTATGTTGAATCATCACCTAGCGCGATTGTTTTGCGAGGGGCATTCGAGCCGACCGCGGGGAAGCTTACCGGCACAAGGAGCGGGGCATGTCCTAGGCTTTGCCGCCGCCGCCACCGAAGCTCTCAACGCTCTCCTGTGTAGGGGAAGAGGTTTGTTTACGAAGGTTGAGGCGCAGGCAGCAGTGCAACGGAGGGAAAACGAAACCACGACGCACGTGTCTGTCTCAGTAGAAAGGATAGCGAGAGAACGCTTCCAGCGTATTCCCCAGGCGTGGACACAGCCAGAGCGAAGAAGAAAAAGCTCACACACGCCCGTCCTTCTCACCTTCCAGTAGACGCCAACATGTTAGACACCAGTAACAAATGTATGTGCTTGTTCGCAGGTCCCTTTAGCCCCCGTGCCGTCTCAGCTGTTGGGGCATCGCATCGGCTTGGTCAACATCGTGCATACCATACCAAAATAAACGACAGCGGGGCCCCTCTCTCTCGCATTCGAAATTATTGACTGCTGTCGTGCTGTCGTGCTTGCTTGCTTCAGTGGATATAGCACCAGGTGTCTCCGGCAAACTCTCCGTCTGGGGCACGCACGCATACGCACGCACACAGATACACGCGCACCCTGCCGCGAGTCGCTCGCGACACACACGCACCCGGGCGACAATGTCGCGCGAGATCGAGTACATGGAGGAGGAGTCGATCCCATGCCCGATCGTGCTCCTGCGGGGAGAGATGCTCACCGAGGAGATGGACGGGCTGTACCGTGTCACCACCAAGGAGAACGCCGTGTCTGACATCCTTACCGTCCGCCTAGCCTGCGGAGCCGGCGACGCCGCCACCTTCTCGGGATCGCGGTTGTACTACGAGGCCCGGGTGGAGTCGGGTGGCGCGGTGGTGCTGGGGCTGGCCGGCCCTGGGTTCGACGAGGGAGTAGAGAACCAACCAGAGCGTCCGGGGGTGGGGGACGTGATGCCGAGCTGGGCGTTCGACGGCGCGCGCAGGAGGAAGCGCACCCGGCAGATCAGCAACATGTACGGGCAGCGGTGGAAGGCTGGGGACATGGTGGGCGTGCTGCTTGACATCGACACCAAGGAGATCTCGTTCAGCCTCAACGGGAAGGATCTCGGCCCGGCCTTCACTCTCAACGACGAGGAGGTGAAGGGCCTATACCCGGCCGCCTCCCTCCACTTCGGCCAGGCCGTCGTTTTCAACTTCGGGCGGGCGCCGTTCGAGTACAATCCTCGCGAGCGCGGCAGCAAGCCCCAGGAGCCGGCCATCATCGAGGCGCCCGCCAAGCCCAAGTCCCGCCGGAAGTCGACGCCGACGAAACCTGCCGCTGCTGCCCCAGCTCCGGCCGCTCCTGCTGCTGCTGCTGCTGCTGCTGTGGGTCCGAGGGCCGGGAAGGGCAAGCGTGCGAAAGACGAGAGCGCCGGCGCCGGTGGGGCAGACGGCGTGGACGACGAGCCCGCCAGCGACGGTGACGCGGAGCCCGTGTACGTGGTAAAGAAGGCGGCAGGTGCCACTGGTGGTAGCGGCGGCGGTAGCAGCAGCATGCGGTCAAACGGCCACACCCACGCTGGCGGCCGCGGCAAGGGCAGCAGTAACGCCTCCTCCGCCGGCATGGACGTCGAGTCCGTGGCGCAGGCCGAGTTCGACCGGCAGACGAAGGAGATCGACGGCCTCCTCAGACACGAGACGCTGCTGGAAGGCATGCATGAGATGCACACGAGGCACCGGCGGGAGCGCAAGGCCCTTCTCGCCACGCAGCGCAAGGAGGTACAGAAGTTCTTCCAGCGAAGAGGGGGAACCACGACTGAGGCTGTCGCGGCTGCCGCCGCGGAAGACGTGAGCAACTCTCCGGCGCCCAAGCGCAGCAGGTCAGGCGACGGTGGAGACCTTCCAGAGGCGTCGACCGCGGTGGAGATGAAGGAATCCGAGGCATGATACCGCTCGTGGTTTGCTAGCCACGATTGATTACGACCTGATGATTTGCACGAGCTTGTTGTGATGAACTACCGCCACACCACGTTCTGTCCCCGTCACAACGGCGTGCCCCCCCCCCCCCCCCCCCCNNNCCCCCCCCCCCCTATTTTTCGAGGGTTGTGACAAAGGGCGTTTGGGTGGCAGGGTCTGACGGACGAAGAAGCGCGAGAAAGAGCTGCTGCAGCGGAGGACTGGCTTGACCGTGGGGGTAGGCATGGCGAGTGCCCAGCACGGGCAATCGCGGGGGGGGGGGGGGGGGGG